GCATTATAAACCTGTCTTGGGGGTCTCTGCCTTTAGTTTCCCACGAGCTTTGGGTGTAGCCAGAGGTAAGAGAGAGAGAGAGAGAGAGGGAGAGAGAGAGAGAGAGAGAGAGAGAGAGAGAGAGAGAGAGAGAGAGAGAGAGAGAGAGAGAGAGAGAGAGAGAGAGAGAGAGTGTAGGAGCTGCACTAATCTTCCCTTTGCTTTGCCTAAATATGACGCACATCATATTCCTTGTACTGTGCATACTCAAAAAGATGCCTGCATTTTCCTCCAAAAAGGGACACGATCGAGGCACTGAAAGATGAAGCAGACTGTTTTCCTCGCAGTGTGTTTGGCGCTGTTGGTGGCTACTGCAGGTGAGTCTCATGCTTTGTTATAGATATTTAGGTACAATGGTATTTACGTATACAGTCTCCACAGACAAACACGTCACACACACCAGTAATACGTGGTATGTGTTTACACACAGCCACACTACATGCACACTGCACATGCTATATATATGTGTGTCTACCTGCGTACACACACACACACACACACACACACACACACACACACACACACACACACACACACACACACACACATATATATATATATATATATATATATATATATATATATATATATACATATATACACATTTGTGAGTATTTGCATATATATACATACTGTACATATATATGTATGTATAAATGTATATGTGTTTATATATACATACACACACATATGTGCGTGTGTGTTTGTTTATACGTGTTTACATAGGTAAACATCATCTGCTTGACCAATAGAAAAGGAAGCCTACAAAACAAACAATATACAAAACCAGCGAACCAACTGAGAAAATATATCACATTCACCTTAAAGCGAAGAGATAAGACAAGCAAAATAAAAACCTGAGGCAGTAAGGCGGCGAAACAACTACTTTTCTCCGTCAGTTCCAGCCAAGAGGACGCGAGATTGCCCCGAGGCCTGCCCCAGGAGATGCCAGCCCGTGTGTGGGACAGACGGCAGAACGTATAATAACCCTTGTCTCCTCGAAAGGTTGAAATGCAGTCATAAAGTGTATGTCGAAATCGCACATGAAGGTCTTTGTGAAGGTGAGAATGCATGTATTTATCATGCTAAAAGGGTGTTTGGTTGGAATTGAGGAATATTCGTACTGATGTGATTTCAAAGATATATTTTTTCCCTATCGTCCTTAAAGGTGATAATGATATATGTTTGTTTCATGAATTTCGAAGTATGGTATATATGTTGAACGTTCTCAGTAAAGATGGACTAATGCCATAGTTTAAGCCAAAACTTCTCTCGATTATTATATGAATATATACTTGGAAAATTCACTCCAATAATGGGACTGCTGCCTTTCTTCGATTAAGAATACTATTTTATTCGACAGATCCCTAAAGTGAATTTACCCATACACGTCATATATTCTGTCAACCAAGAAATAAACTTAAAAAGAAAAATGTAATCTAATAGACACACTCTCTACATATAAATAAGTTTGTAAGTAAATACCTGAAATATTGATTATTTTCTCCCACAGGAACCACGCCTTCCTGCAGATGGAGATGAAGACAGAAATAGAAGGAACTGCGGTCTCTAAGATTTGTCGATTGAAGTTAAGAATTGGAATACATTGCAGTTCATGGATTTTTTTTTCTTTCTTATTTAAAAACAAAGGCGAAGATACACATGACAGGTTGGTTATTACTAGTGGCAGGCTGAGTGGTTGTTGATGATGATTATTTGACAGCTGACAGGTTTTTCATTGTTGCCAGTCATCACCAAGCTCTCAAGCGCATCTTCGCCTCGGTAAAAAAATAGTTATATAGAAAATAAAAAGAATAAAAATGAAAAAAAAAAATAGATGAAGATAAGAGACGGTCGTTATGTTTTTGAGTTCTGTCAAGTTTTATTTATTCCATATATGATTTTACTTTGGTAATGCAAATATATTTAAAAGGTCTATACTGTGTCTTAGTGCCCTCGTTATTAGAGCCAAAAAGTTAAAAATACCAATATGAACAAGGGAGGGAGGGGGATGATGGAGGGAAGATGGAGTGGAGGGAAGATGGAGTGGAGGGAAGGAGTGGAGGGAAGGTGGAGTGGAGGGAAGATGAAGTGGAGGGAAGAAGGAGTGGAGGGAAAATGGAGGGAAGATGGCGTGGGGGCGAGAAGAGAAGTGGAGGGGAAGATGGCGTGGAAGGGAGAGTGGGATGGAGGGTAGATGTAGCAACCTTTGCACGATTGCATCTGGCATATAGCTCGCTGACAAAACCCATTTAATTACCATATGTGAACGTGTGAGTGTACGTGGAGAAGAATGACGATGAGTGAGGAAGAGTGTGAGGAATGGAGGGCTGGAGGGTAAGTGCTTGTATGTGTGTATGAGTATGTGTGTTTTGCAAGTGGAAAAGCCTGGTAAGCGTGTATTTAGACTGAGTGACGTGTGTGTGAAGGATTTATTCTCTAAACGCAAATGGTAAACGAATTTTTATTTACACAGTATATTGCATAGCCTTTTCTGATCTCTGACTTGGCTCATTGCGCCTTTTACAAGTCGTTTTAAAATTTATGCCTTTCATCAAAGTGTCTTTGGGAGTATGGAAAATTAAGCATTTAAAATATTTATTCAAACAATAAACGAGGAAACAAAAATAACAAAACAACGTGAAAATATAACTTAAAATCAATAAAACAACCACACGAAACGAACACATGTAAAACAGCCGAAGCAATAAAAGAAGTCAAATAATGAAATAAAATACGAAGTTAAAATGCTTTAAAAAGAACTTCATAAAAGAAATGAGGCACCGATCTATATAAGCTCACTTGCTTAATCAAAAAGTCACAGATTTCCTCCCAAGACCTCACTAATAAAGGTTCCATAACCCACTTGGCATGAGCACACAGGGCCTATTCTGGTGGTCTCTCGACAAGCAACCTCTCCTAACCCGGCCGACCACAATCCAAGTCCCTCTCACATTTACACTAACCGGTCAGTCGGGCAAGATCATCGGCCAGATCTTCCTTCTGTGTTATTTTAACCCGATAAACCCTCCCCGACCGCGTTTCTTCCCGGATAAGACCAAGCGCCTCGGACAAGAAACACTGAAAGTACCGTTTAGTTACCGGTGGAATCTTGAGCGGTCAGGTGAGTCAGCCGTGGTGCTTGCCAAGAGGTGAGGAGGACGGGTGCGTGGGAGCCAGGTTTTGAATGGCAGTGCTCGCGGGTGGCGGCAGCGATGGCACTTATGTGGAATGAAGTGGGCGGGGGAATTGGAGGTAGAGGTAAAACACACACACACGCGCACACACACACACACACACACACACACACACACACACACACACACACACACACACCACACACACACACACACACCACACACACACACACAACACACACACACACAACACACACACACACACCACACACACACACACACACCACACACACACACACACACAACACACACACACACACACACACAACACACACACACACACACACCACACACACACACACACACACACACACACACATATATATATATATATATATATATATATATATATATATATATATATATATATATATATATATATATATATATATATATATATATATATATATATATATATATATATATATATATATATATATATATATATATATATATATATATATATATATATATATATATATATATATATATATATATATATATATATATATATATATATATATATATATATATATATATATATATATATATATATATATATATATATATATATATATATATATATATATATATATATATATATATATATATATATATATATATATATATATATATATATATATATATATATATATATATATATATATATATATATATATATATATATATATATATATGTGTGTGTGTATGTAATTATTTGGATACATAAAAAGTAGACAGAAAGTAAAAAAAAACAAACTACCGACTCATAAGCCTCCTTTCAGTCACTTACAAACTGTTCACAAAAGTCATCACAACTCGCATCTCTGACAGTATGGATTCTAACCAGCCTAGAGAACAGACAGGCTTCCGCAGTGGATTCTCAACAACAGACCACACCCACGGGCTTACCCAAATAAGAGAAAAAATAAACGAATATAGGGAACCTTGCGTATGGCATTCATTGATTACGAAAAGGCATTTGATTCTGTACAAATACCAGCAGTACTAGAAACAATTCGAAGACTGAGAGCAGAGGAGGTATATTGTAAAATATTGGAAGATATTTACGAATATGGGACAGCAACCATCAAACTCCACGCGGAAACCGGTTAAAATAACAAGGTGTTAGACAGGGCGTTACCATCTCACCAAGACTGTTTACAGCTTGCCTTGAGGAAATATTTAAGAAGCTAGAATGGAATGGAGAGGATATCAAAATAGGAGACGAATACCTAAACAATCTAAGATTTACAGGTGATATTGCTCTTTTCAGTGAATCTATAAATGAAATGCAGCAACTAATAAACGATCTGAATAGAGAAAGTCTGAAAGTCGGACTTAGGATGAACAAGAAAAAGACTAAGATCATGTTTAACAATAGAGTTCAATTCGAACAGATACATGTACAAAGCGAAGCAATTGAGATAGTGGACAAGTACATATACCTAGGGCAACCCGAACAGACAAACACATCTAGTGAAGAGGAAATGAAATCAGTCTAGGCTGGAGTGCCTTCGGCAGACACAGTAGTATACTAAGAGGCTCCTTGCTATTATGTTTAAAAAGAAAAGTGTTTAACCAGTGCGTCTTCCCAGTTATGACTCATGGATCAGAAACATGGACTACAACCAAATTACTGGAGAGGAAACTAATAAGTGCCCAGAGAGGTTGGTTGAGAGAGTTGATACTGGAAACTGGATGAGGGCGACGTGGATCAAGGAACAGACAAATGTGGCAGATATATTTAGGAAAAAAATGGCAATGAGCAGGTCATGTATGCCGGAAACAGGACGACAGATGGACGAAGAACGTAACAAACTGGGCTATAGGTAACATAAAGAGGCCAAAGGCCTGACCAATGACAAGATGGCATAACAAGACAACGAAATTTGTGGACCAAGACAGGAAACAAAAAAGCGCAATACAGACAGACTGGGAGAGGCCCACGTTCTGCAGTGGAATGCTTAAGGCTGATGATGATGATAATGTGTATATATATATGTATATATACATATATATACATATGTAAGTACATATATACCACAATGTAAGTATATTATATCACATCACTACATACACACACACACACACACACACACACACACACACGAACACACTCACGCACATACACATATACACACACATACATATATATATGTGTGTGTGTATGTAATTATTTGGATACATAAAAAGTAGACAGAAAGTAAAAAAAAACAAAAAACTACCGACTCATAAGCCTCCTTTCAGTCACTTACAAACTGTTCACAAAAGTCATCACAACTCGCATCTCTGACAGTATGGATTCTAACCAGCCTAGAGAACAGACAGGCTTCCGCAGTGGATTCTCAACAACAGAACACACCCACGCGCTTACCCAAATAAGAGAAAAAATAAACGAATATAGGGAACCTTGTGTATGGCATTCATTGATTACGAAAAGGCATTTGATTCTGTACAAATACCTGCAGTACTAGAAACAATTCGAAGACAGGGAGTAGAGGAGGTATATTGTAAAATATTGGAAGATATATACGAAGATGGGACAGCAGCCATCAAACTCCACGCGGAAACCGGTAAAATAACAAGGTGTTAGACAGGGCGTTACCATCTCACCAAGACTGTTTACAGCTTGCCTTGAGGAAATATTTAAGAAGCTAGAATGGAATGGAGAGGATATCAAAATAGGAGACGAATACCTAAACAATCTAGGATTTACAGGTGATATTGTTCTTTTCAGTGAATCTATAAATGAAATGCAGCAACTAATAAACGATCTGAATAGAGAAAGTCTGAAAGTCGGACTTAGGATGAACAAGAAAAAGACTAAGATCATGTTTAACAATAGAGTTCAATTCGAACAGATACATGTACAAAGTGAAGCAATTGAGATAGTGGACAAGTACATATACCTCGGGCAACTCGAACAGACAAACACATCTAGTGAAGAGGAAATGAAATCAGTCTAAGCTGGAGTGCCTTCGGCAGACACAGTAGTATACTAAGAGGCTCCTTGCTATTATGTTTAAAAAGAAAAGTGTTTAACCAGTGCGTCTTCCCAGTTATGACTCATGGATCAGAAACACGGGCTACAACCAAATTACTGGAGAGGAAACTAATAAGTGCCCAGAGAGGTTGGTTGAGAGAGTTGATACTGGAAACCGGATGAAGGCGACGTGGATCAAGGAACAGACAAATGTGGCAGATATATTTAGGAAAAAAATGGCAATGAGCAGGTCATGTATGCCGGAAACAGGACGACAGATGGACGAAGAACGTAACAAACTGGGCTATAGGTAACATAAAGAGGCCAAAGGCCTGACCAATGATGGCATAACAAGACAACGAAATTTGTGGACCAACACAGGAAACAAAAAAGCGCAAGACAGACAGACTGGGAGAGGCCCACGTCCTGCAGTGGAATGCTTAAGGATGATGATGATGATAATATGTATATATATATGTATATATACATATATATACATATGTAAGTACATATATACACAAATGTAAGTATATATATACACACACATACATACCTACATATACCCCTTCTCCTTCCTCCCTTCTCTTTGCTAGCTGCTTAAGTGTGCCATTCGGTTTTCGAAATCTGCCTTCTAGGAAATAAAAAGTTTCCCAGAATATTTATGACGCATTTTAGTTTAAAGCTAATGGTCGAACGATTGTCGATCTGGAGTCGCATATATATATATATATATATATATATATATATATATATATGTGTGTGTGTGTGTGTGTGTGTGTGTGTGTGTGTGTGCATATAACACACGCGTGTAAGTATATGTATGTGCGCATATCTATATATCTATCTATCCACACCCACCCACCCACCCACCCACACACACACACATATATATATATTTGTGCACGCGCACACACATATATGTACATACACATATACAAACATATATATATATATATATATATATATAATATATATATATATATATATATATATATATGTGTGTGTGTGTGTGTGTGTGTGTGTGTGTTTGTGTGTGTGCACATATAACACACACATGTAAGTATATGTGTATATCTATATCTAACTATATATCTATTTACACACACACACACACACACACACACGCAGAAATATTGTGTATCTGTCTATCTGTCACACACAAACACACACACATACACACACACATGTATATATACATACATACATATTTATTTATATACATACATATACATATATAAACATAGCATATAGAGGTAGACTAAGACAGTCGTGAAGAATTTCATGTTTATTAAACGTTTCGAAGGTGATCACCAGACCTCCATCATCAGTAAACTGTCAAAAAAGAACCATTGAAAAGACAGTTGGACAATTATGTATATGGATATTTGGTTCTGAACAAATTAGTGACACATAAAATTAATTACGAACAATATATACTTAGACGTAATGAAATCATAAAAAAGAACGTCATACAATATAAACATAAAAGGAATAAAATAACATTTACCACCACGATAGCCAACGCCACTTTCATGAAATTCTCACGTCAGGTTAAACAGGCACGTGACTCAGAGCCACTCATGTCCCCTCTACAGACACTTAAGAACAAATACTAATTAGCAAACCAGATAAAAGTCGTGGTTTAGTCATTTTAAACTAGTGTGACTATAAACAAAAGAATATTCTTAGTGACCATACAAAATTCAAATGAATCACTACTGAGGTATCAACTCACCTATTATACCTAGATGGAAGACAAGTTAAAAAGACTACTTCCATCAAAGGATCCATTAATGAAAATACATATAATTTCCTTACGACTGCTGGCTCCAGACCTGGTCTACTCTATAGACTCCCCAAAGTTCATAAACCTAACATTCCTCTAAGACCCATTATCTCTTCGATTGGTAATTCTAACTATAACACATAGGCTTCAACAACCCATCAGCCTGGCAAGTTCCAATGTTGAATCACTAATGTTCACTAATGTTCCCCTACATGAAACCACAGATTTATTAATTAACAATCTAAACAGCACACAGCTCAATGAATCTGGCCTATCAAAAGATAACTTCAGAGAATTACTTGAGATTGCAGCCCATTACTCGGTTTTTACTTTTGATGATTGTTTATACAGTCAAACAGACGGTGTATCGATGGGTTCCCCATTAGGCCCTTCCTATACTAATGCATTCCTTTGTTATCACGAACAAAATTGGCTTGAACAATGTCCACCTGAATTTAAGCATCGATGATACTTTTCTCCTTTTTAAACACCCCTCACCCCTCTCTAATGGGTACCCACTGTTCTTATTTGATAAAATTACTAAAACTTTTCTTTGTAAAATATTCTCAAACCAACCCATTGCCCCTACTGTTAAAACAAGACCATAGATAAATTAAACTACCGTACATGGGTTGTTTAAGTTTTAAAATCAGGAAGCAACTAAAATCACTGCTACTAATTAATTACCCTTAAATTAAAATCACTTTTGTCTTCACCAACACTAACAATACAGCCAAATTTCTAAAACAGCCTTTGAGATGTAACTCTGACATGTGTTTTAACGTAGTGTACTTATTTACCTGTCCTTGCCGTACGTGAGTTCTACCTCACGATGGTTACGACACCACATCACAAAGGCAAATCCTTCAGGACTGGCCTTCCGCTGAACAAACCATCTTTCTCGGCAATAAGAAAATATAAGAATAAGAATAAGAATTTTATCTTCCTATTCCTCCCGTCCAGACCTTATCATCTCCGAATCCTTACACATACAGAAGATGAAACCCGAACTAAACAAAGCAACAAAACAACCCAATAGGCCTTCCCTCTCACCAACACCCACTTTGGTTAGTTTGCTTTTTGGTTGTTATCGTTTTATTTTCTTGTATATATGTTATTTTATTAAATTTATGTTTATGTTGTATGGCGTTCTTTTTACGTCTACGTATATATTGTCCTTAGTTAATTTTACGTATCTGTAATTTATTCAGAACCAAATATCCATATCCATAATTTCCAACTGACTTTTCAATGGTTCTTTTTGATAAATATATATACATGTATATGAATACATATATACATATATGTATATATATATGTATGTATATATATATGTATGTATATATATATATGTGTGTGTGTGTGTGTGTGTGTGTGTGTGTGTGTGTGTGTGTGTTTATGTACATGTAAGCTAACGTGTATGTGTGGAATATTAATGACCGAGAGGACTCAGTAACCTCTCTCTCTTGTTTATTTGCTGCCATTTCTAGAAACTCCAGGCTACTCCAGACGTTTAGTTTCTTAACAGGTACACGAGTTCACAGCTATGAACAATCCTACCACTGGGAAAACTGAGGCGTGGGCTTGGAATAGGAAAATGATAAGGAGAAGTAAAGAGAAAGTTGATGTAGGGAGTGAGGAGAGAGATGCTGGCTGTGAGGACGAGAAACGGGGATCCTGCTGGATGCTGTGTGGCTTTGTATCTATCTAACGCACACAGGCATACATACATGCACATACATACATGCATACCCATACACACACACACACACACACACACACACACACACACACACACACACACACACACACACACACACACACATAAACACACACACACACATACACACATACACACACATACACATACACACACACACACACACACACACACACACACACACACACACACACACACACACACACACACACACACACACACGCATCTATTTATATTTGTGTTTGTGTAATATATTCTGTGTGGCTTTGTATCTATCTAACGCACACATGCATACATACATGCACATACATACATACATACACATAACACACACACACACACACATACACACACACACATATACACACACACACACACACACACACACACACACACACACACACACACACACACACACACACACACACACACCACACCACGCATCTATCTATATTTGTGTTTGTGTAATATATTCTGTGTGGCTTTGTATCTATCTAACGCACACATGCATACATACATGCACATACATACATACATACACATACACACACACACACAAACACACACACACACACACACACACACACACACACACACACCACACACACACACACACACACACACACACACACACACACACACACACACACACACACACACACGCATCTATCTATATTTGTGTTTGTGTAATATATTCTGTGTGGCTTTGTATCTATCTAACGCACACATGCATACATACATGCACATACATACATGCATACCCATACACACACACACACACGCATCTATCTATATTTGTGTTTGTGTAATATATTCTGTGTGGCTTTGTATCTATCTAACGCACACAGGCATACATACATGCACATACATACATGCATACCCATACACACACACACACACGCATCTATCTATATTTGTGTTTGTGTAATATATTCTGTGTGGCTTTGTATCTATCTAACGCACACATGCATACATACATGCACATACATACATGCATACCCATACACACACACACACGCGCATCTACCTATATTTGTGTTTGTGTAATATATGCTGCCGGGGATGTAGGACCGAAAACGAAGTAAAGTAATAAGAAAAAAAAGAAAAAAAATGAAAATACCGGTTTCGTGGCGGCCGCGCCTTCAGACGTCAGACCGGAGGATCTAGTGTACACCTTTGTACACTTATCTCTGATGTACAAAACATAATAAAAAGGAAGAAATCATAAACCTTTGCATTTTTTTAAATCAAAGTTTTATTAAGAATTTGATTAAAACTTTTGTAAATAAATTCACGGTTTCTTTCGTTCATTCTTTATTAAACAAATGCACTCATGATAATAAGTTGTAATGGAATTTATTCCCTCAAAGCAACGTCATGAAAGATAAATTAAAACAAGAAAATCTAGGAAAAATAAACAGTTGACTTAAAGTATTCATTCTGAAAACAAAACAAAACAATACGATCGAAACAAAATTAACTGAACCTTTACCGAAAGAAATAAAACCAAAAAACAAAACAAAACCAACAATAACAAGACGAATTTTAATACAACAGTCCCCCACACCCTAAAACACAAATAAACAAACAAACTTCATCTACCATTATATATACACATCCCTATTTTCCTTCAAGCTGCCTTTGCACAGTCCTTCCTCATGCATCTTCAGATAAGGGTTCCTGCATGTTGCACGCATCATCCTGCACATGTTGTCGTATGTCTGGCCGTCGTTGCCACACACGGGGCTGTAGGCGCTGTTGCAGTCGTATGGGCACGGGCTTTCGGGCTCTGAGGAGTGTATATTAATGCTGTTGTTACTATTTTATTATTGTTGTTATTGTTATTATTGTTGTTAATACTATTATTATCATTATTGTAATTATTATTATTATTATTATTATTATTATTATTATTATTATTATTATTATTATTATTATTATTATTATTATTATTATTATTGTTGTTGTTGTTATTATCATTAATATCATTAATATCATTAAAATAATTATTGTTATTATCTTTATTGCTATCATCATCATTACTAATATTACTATCATTATTATTATCGTTATTATTATTAGTTATTAATATTATCATCATCTTTATTACTATCACCATTACTGCTGCTATTATCATTATCATTATTATTATTATCATCATTATCATTATTATCATCATCTATTTCGTTCAGTCCCTCCTCCCTCTCTCCCTTGCTTCTTCCCTCTTTCCTCTCCTTCCTTCTCTTCTCTCATACCCTCCTGTATTATCTCTGTCCTCCCCCCCCCCTCTCTCCCTCTCTCTCTTTCCACTTTCTCTCTCTCACTCCCTTTGCAGCCTCAGAATTCGGAATTTCCTATATCAAGTTAAGAAAACAAAAGTCTAGTGCACAAGGATGTGTATTGCATATTGATTAATGTTTGTATCATTTATGGGAAAATATTGGATTTTGTATCTAATCTATATCGATTTATTTTTCTATTATTCTCTTTCCCTATCCTTTTCTTTCTCTGTTTTCTTCTTTCTACTTTCTGTCTCTGTCTCTCTCTCTCTCTGTTTTTTGTCTTTTTTTCCTCTCTCTTTCACTCTCCCTCCCTCTTCTTTCCATTTTCCTCCTTGGCTGCATTCTCCCTCTCTCTCTATCTCTCCTTCTACCTTTCCCCCACTTTCTCTCTTTCCCTCTGTCTCTCCGCCCTGTCTCTCTTCTTCCATCGTTCCTCTCTTCCCCATTCTACCTCCAATTCCTCTCCCTGTATTCCTTTTTAGTCTCTCAC